ATGGATTTACATGTATTCCCCATCCCGGTCCCCCCTCCCACCTCCCTCTCCACCCGATCCCTCTGGGTCTTCCCAGTGCACCAGGCCCGAGCACTTGTCTCATGCACCCAACCTGGGCTGGTGATCTGTTTCACCCTAGATAATATACATGTTTCAATGCTGTTCTCTTGAAACATCCCACCCTCGCCTTCTCCCAGAGTCCACAAGTCTGTTCTATACATCTGAGTCTCTTTTTCTGTTTTGCATATAGGGTTATCGTTACCATCTTTCTAAATTCCATATATATGTGTTAGTATACTGTAATGGTCTTTATCTTTCTGGATTTTTAGCCAGGATTTCATATCAGACATTCTTCTTTTTTTCCCAGTTATAAGGCCATTGAACCATCTTTTGAAATGTTTCTCTTAAGTCTTGTTTCAGCATATATGTGCATTTCTTTTTGTATTTTTTTCTCATCTGGACTCTTAAATATCTATTCTAAGATACAGTAACATAATTTGACAGTGTTAATCCATAATGTGACTAGATAGGAAGGAAAATTTGTTCATATGAAAATCCGTTAGATTTCCATTATAGGACTTGAGAGAGAAGAAGTCTTCCCAGAACTGTAGAAAAGGGAGAGGATCAAATATGTGGAATTTCCTATTTTCTACCTAATCATGAACTTTTCCATGTGTGAGTGTTTCCACATGAACATGGTCATTCCAATGAAAGAATTTTATTTTTTGGCTGTGCCCTGCAGCTTGAGGAATCTTCGTTCCCTGACCGGGGATTGAGCCGAGCCCTGGGCCCAGCCATGCATTGAAAGCACCAAGTTTTAACCACTTGATCTCCAGGGAATTCCCCCCAAATTTTCCTCTTTGTTATTCAACAGATGTATATATTCTGACTTACAGCAGTTTTGATCTGCCTAACTGATTCTCTAGATCAAGGAGTTGACACAACTTTCTTGATAAAAGGGCCAGTTAATAAATTCTAGACATGTGAACTACGTGGGCCCTGTCTCCTTTTCTTTCATTTTTAAACAGTGCTTTAAAAATGTAAGAATCAGTTTCAGTTGGTTAGTCCTACAGAACAGACCAGAGGCAGTTTTTGGCCTTCAGGTCAAGATTTGCCAACCCTGCTCTAGGTAGATAAAATTTAATTATTCAAGTGCCATTTAAAATTTTAGATTAACCAATTTAACTGGAGGCCTTTTGAAAATCTTTTTGTAAATATGAATGCCTTAAAAAAAAGCTTTTTATTATGGAGAGTATCAAATATATAAAAAAATAGAATGTAGTATTGTAAATCCTCGTCAGACCAAGCTTTAATAGTTACCAACACTTGACCAATCTTATTTTGTCTGTACCTCCCTCCCTTAGTAGCTTGAAGCAAATTCCAGGTATCATAGCATTTCATAAATATTTCAGTATTCTCTTTTGTTATGTTTTTTATCCGTCCTTTTCCCAGTGCCATACTGTTTTGATTACTGTAGCTGTATGGTTAAGTTTAGAAGTGTCAGGTATGTTAAATCCTGTAACTTTTTTCTTTTATCTATTTATTTAGATGTTTTAATTTCTCTATATTCCTAGGTATTTCATGTTTTTACTGCTTTTGATAAGTTTTAAAAATGTAAACTTCCAATTATTTTTTTCAGTTATGTATACTTTATAGTCAGTTATCCTTTTAGGAAATTAATAATGAGAGAGAAAACCTTGGTTCTGTATATTATATTAAAATATTCATTAGTTTTGTGAACATGTCTTTCTGGTATGCTTCTTTATCTGTAGGAATGTTACTCTTTGAATTTTTCTTACAAAAACTTTGAGAATTGACTTGAATCCTTTTTAGGCATTATTTCTTCAAATATTTTTTCTGTCCTCCCATTATCACCTCTCTTTGAGATTCCGGTTCTTTTCTGTTACTTATGTTCGAGGAAGATGGCTTTAGGGAAGCCCAGGTGGCTTGGTGGTAAAGAATCCACCTGGCAAACAGGTGATGCGGGTTTGATCCCTGGGTCAGGAAGATCCCCAGGAGAAGAAATGGCAGCCCACTCTAGTATTCTTGCCTGGGAAATCTCACGGACAGAAGAGCCTGGTGAGCTCTAGTGCATGGGGTCTCAGAGTCGGACACAACTCTCATCGAGTAAATAACTACAGTATACTACTTTTAGATGAGGGTTGGGTAAGCTAGCCTTTTGCTAGGTTTGTGGCTGGAGGAATCCTCTGCTGTTATGTAAACATAACATAACATAACATATTTAAAAATATGTCTTCTGAGACCTTTCCTCCTTTCCTTCTCTGCCTTTATCTAGATCAGGGTTTTTCACTTTTTGCAGTATTAGCACTTTTGGTCAGCTATCTTTGCTGCAGGGAGTTGTCCTGGGCATCGTAGGATATTCAGTGGCCTTCTGGGCCGCCCTGTGGTACCCACTCCCCCAGGTATGATGACTGATAACCAGAACTGTTTCTCAGCATTGTCAGATGTCCTCTGGAGGGGCAGAATCTTTCTTGTTCTAGACTTTCCTTTACCCCAGTGACTGTGTACTGCTTAGTTCAGATTCTCTTCCTGGCAGTTTCTGCTTGGTATGTTGCTCTGTCTTAGAAGGGAGTTTCAGTTAGTTTTCAGATTCCTGATGTTTGTGTGATTTTCTTGCATTTACTTATATGAGTTGTAGCCTGTGAAGCCCCTTCCGAGTTTCAGTTGCTGTTTTACACTGAATTGAAACTGTCAATTTAAGGGAGGGAGTGGGAGGTAGTACTTCTAGGTAATTTGATTTCTGTTTGTTCTGGCTCCAGGGCTGTCCCAAATCCCTTTCCTCTTCTTGTTATGTTTCTGATACCATGTGGGTCTTGCTGCTGTTGGTGTTTGGTCCTAACTTGCAGTATTTTAGAATTCATGAGTAATATGTAGTCAGTTATGCTGTATTTTTTGGCCATTTTTATTTTGGATGGTTTGATCTGTTTATTTCCTCATAGTTGCTTAGTCTATTTTTGTCAGTCTCTCAGTTGTGTCCGACTCTTTGCCATTCCCTTCTCCAGGGGATCTTGATCCAGGGATCAAGACCCCCACAAACTGGGGTCTGTAGCGTTTTGGGGGGATGGTTATTCAGGGATATTAAAAAATTATGTCTCTTTCATTGCCGGGTTATCCTGACTGCCTCTGCTTTCTTAAAATGGGTGTTCTAAACATGATAAAATATTTTAAATGATGAGTGAGACTTGTGCCTGCTCATGGACTTCGAGAAAGGCCTGGAGAGGGAGAGGTTGAAAATGCAAATACAGGTCAAAAAACTGATGGCGTGTTTGTGCCCCAGAGGTGACCAAAAGGGGTGGATACAGAAGTAATTTTGGTAGAGGGATTAGCTTTGGACTGAGAAACAAGACAGGTTGTCTGACAGGAGAGGTAGGGAGATGAGGTTTCATTCACATAGTAGTTTGCAAGTTTGTAGTTGGAAGCTGAGAAATGTCACGTTTGGTTTCTTCAATTTTCTTAGTAAACTTTAATGTGACGTTATCTGCTGAAGAAAGTGAGATAAGTATAGGGAACTTGAGGAAAGGTATAAACATTTTGGAATGCTGATGGTGAAAAATGGAAGCAGTATCTAACCAGAGATATTAAAGTAATTGCTGAGAGATGCTATGGGTTAAATCTTAGGTTAGTTTTTAAACTGTAAATTTGCAACATACCAATTTTGTGATTTTTTATTTTTTTCCAGTTAGCAACTCACAAACAAGAGCAGAGAAGGTGGTTGTATATAGTGAACCTAAAATTAGGGTTTTGTTAGAGCATGACGACGGTATAATGTTAAGGTATGATAAAAGAGAAAGGTTCAAGGGATGCATTGTGGAGTATAGACTGGGTAGGGAAGGAAATCATGCTGTTTCAGGTGCTGTTGGGTTGGGAGAAAGAGAGGATCCAAGAGAATCCAGGTCTGTGTGATTCTCAAGAAGATGTGAGAATTGGACAGGAGATTGAGGCCTATCTTGTATACTGGAATTTAAAATTTCAAAGCTAGAGAAGTTCTGTTTTATTGTAATAATCTTGTTATGTCTGTGTAACATTGATGAAAAATATTGGAGTAAAAGAAGTTGAAATGGTGGGAGTATGTCATGATACTTACCCCACTGTAGGTAAGGGACCTATGGTGATGGCAAGAGGTCGTTTGGAGGGGAAAGTACGAACTGGAAAGTGAGATAAACAGGGAGATTTGTCCGTAGGTGGCCACAAGAAAGCAGGTCTCAGGGCAGTGCTGTAAGAATAGGAAAGAGGGTGGTTTGCATGAGTGCAGACAACCAGGGACTTCTTTTCTGAAGTCTGTTTTACTTGGTATTCATGGTATGAATACCAGGGCTTGGATAACCTTCTTTAAAGGGCCAGAAAGTAGATTATTGTAGACTTTGTTTCTGTTGCTTATTTTTGTTTTGTTTTGTTTTTATAACCCTCTAAAAATATAAAAACCATTCTTAGTTCATGTCCCATATAAAAACAGTCAGTAACTGAAGGTTATAGTATGATGACCTATGAATTATACTCATGAATTCTCTGTGATTTGTCAGTGATACTTTAATTTGTAAAAATTGTAAACTATTTCAGATACTAAGTAATTATTATTACTTGAATAGTGGTAGTTTTGTATTAGGAAGTGTTAAGGAGATAATATATATTTATTTAATCTGTGACTTGTCAGTGATACTTTGTAAAAATTGTTAACTATTTCAGATATTAAGTAATTATTATTACTTGAATAGTGGTAGTTTTATATTAGAAAGTGTTATGGAGATAATATGTATTTATGTTATCTGTGACTTGTCAATGATACTTTACTATGTAAAAATTGTTAACTATTTCAGATACTAAGTAATAATTACTTGAATAGTGGTCGTTTTATATTAGAAATTGTTAAGGAGATAATATATATTTATTTTAAAAATACTGTCAGTAATTTTATACTTCTTAATATGGTGGTAACTTACATTTCTGAATGAAATTTTTACTTTTTTTGTGGTACATTTAAGTTGAGTCAGCAGATACTGGAGTTATTTGAAGCATGTCAGCAGCAAGTAAGTGATTTAAAGAAGAAAGAACTCTGTCGAACAGAGCTTCAGAGAGAAATTCAACTGTTATTTCCACGTATGTTTCCCTATTTTGCTTGCTTTTTAATTATATGCATTCCTGTTTTAATTTAAAATAACATCTTATAATTCTCTTCTGTTTCTCTAGAAAGCAGACTTTTTTTAGTTGGGTCGTCTTTAAATGGATTTGGTACTCGGAGCAGTGATGGTGACTTATGTCTAGTTGTTAAAGAGGAACCAGTAAGTAATGAAACATTTATGTGTGTTTTTCATGTTAAGTCATTTAAGAAATTTCATATAAAAGTCATTGAGGGAGAAAACCCTGCTTTGTTTTAATTGCTTCTTTGAATTCTCTGTTTATAGTAATTCAAGGAAACTCAGGAAATGCTGTTGCTTCTATTTTTTTAAGGCATGTATATAATAAAAATAAATTATAGCATTAATTTATTTCTAAATTGTTAAAGTGAGGCAGTTTCACTGTGTGTTTTTAAAGAGCTATATCTTAATTTTGAAATGCCATTGGATTGGGTATAATACCAGGATGCAGCAAAGAGGAAGAGCTTGTCTTTTATCTGCTTGATTTATTTCCTTCCATTTGAATTCTCAGTGATTCTGTTTTTAATCTGTATTATTTTTCCCTTGAAAGTACTATGGGATTTGGAGTTCTTATTTTGGGAATTAAAGAGAGATTTCTCGGAAATGTAAAATAAGACTATTGTGATTTAAAGTAATTATCTCTGATATTTTGACTTTGTTTCTTCATACTTAGCAACCAAATTTTATTTTTTATTATATTTATTTGAATTTCCTGTTAACTGATACTCTTGTGTGTCCTTAGTTCCACAAAAATTTTTGTTTATTAAACTCACCTGAGCAGCCTCTTGAATATGCTTAAGTCTCTTCTGAATTACTGAAGATTAATTTCAGTGTAATTTTAATATGCCTTGTATTTCACCTCTTAAAAAATAAAAAAGCCTCTATTGAATGGTAATATTATTCCTGTTAGTTTAGTAACAAAAGTGACTTTCTAGTTACTGCAAATCAGAGAGAGATTTATTCCAGGAAAGAAACTCCAGATACTTTCTAGGCTTTGATAGCATATAAAGGAAAACTGAAAAAAAGAAAAGCCTCAGAAATAGTAAACATAATGAAGAATACTAGAGTTTTAATTAAAACTTTTTCTCATGCAGTTAGATTATACTTTAGTTCAGTTCAGTCACTCAGTTGTGTCCGACTCTTTGCGACCCCATGAACTGCAGCTCGCCCTGCCTCCCTGTCCATCACCAACTCCCAGAATTTACCCAAACCCATGTCCATTGAGTCAGTAATGCCATCCAACCATCTCATCCTCTGTCATCTGCTTCTCCTCCTGCCCTCAATCTTTCCCAGCATCATGGCCTTTTCAAATGAGTCAGCTCTCCTCATCAGGTGGCCAAAGGATTGGAGTTTCAGCCTCAGCATCAGTCCTTCCAATGAACACCCAGGACTGATCTCCTTTAGGATTTACTGGTTGGATCTTGCAGTCCAAGGGACTCTCAAGAGTCTTCTCCAACACCGCAGTTCAAAAGCATCAATTCTTCTGTGCTTATCTTTCTTTATAGTCCAACTCTCACATCCATACATAACTACCGGAAAAACCGTAGCTTTGACTAGACAGACCTTTAATCCTCCATCTGTTCACATGTCTGAATCATGCTTGTCACAACTTATAATGAAACACCATGGATTTGAACCTTATTTTTAAACAACTCACAATCTAGATAGGGAAATAAAACATGTTACAGAAAGTTAAAATTCTGTTTATATTTTTCTTGCAGATTATTTTTTGTACATTTATACTAAAGGAAAAAATGACATATAGCTGTTACAATATTTCTTTTAAAGTTGTGCTTTTAAGTTTAAAATCAGAAATTGATTTAGAAATATTAATGTTAAAGATAGCATAAAGGTTGACCCTTAAATAATTAATTTAATGTATATTGAAAAATAACTCCAATGAAAAGTATGCTCTATATTTTTTTTTTGTTGTTGAGATACATTAAGAAAATAAAACATTAAATTTAGAAAGATAATGAAAAAACTTTATTTTTAACTTTTCAGTGTTTTTTTCAGGTAAATCAGAAGACTGAAGCACGGCATATACTCACCTTAGTCCACAAACACTTCTGTACTAGACTTTGTAAGTCTGACATGCCTCATGTTCATATGTCATTTGACATAACTATTTATTTAAAATGTCTCTCACTGTGTTTATTTTCTGATAAGAATTGTTTTATTTTCTGGTGAGATTAGGTATAATTCGGATTCTTTTTCCCTAGTGAATTTAACTTTTAATTAAAAGTAACCATTTATTTGCCAGTTCTTTCTACTTGCAAGCTGTCTCATTGAAGGTAGTCAGGAATTCAGAGATATGTAAGCTTTAGTTTTTCCTCAAACAGCTGAACGCTGTTAGGAAAGTTAAAGCATGAATGTGAGTAACTGCAGTGCAGAGTATCTCAAAAGCCAAAGATACACAAGTCTTACTTCTGTGTGAGGAAGAGAACATCTCATCTGTTTGCAGTGACAGACATCTTTACTTGTTTTAAAAATGTGATCACTGAACCCAAAGCCCAAATATATCACTCCACTGAAAGCAAAATTAATGAATTAGGCCATTTTATTGTAAGATTTTATTCTTTGAATAAGGTGACAAAGCAGATTTTAATCCACAAGTTAAGCCATCTCAAATAATTTAAACTTCCACAGAATATTGTGGACATTTGAAGTCACACTAACTGTGTGATCTTGGATAGACTATTTGTCCATTTATTTAACAAATATTTCTTATGTGTTAGACTTTAAGGTGGAAAATACAAAGTCACTTAACAGGTTATTGCCCTTGAACGACAACTGATAAGGAACAACAACTTTTATCAGTTGTAGGAAAGAAAGCAAGAGATTTATTTCAGTGGACTTGAATTTTGCATTTGTAAAATAAAGGAGAAATTCGTACCTTAAGTGGATTTTTAATAATTATTATTAAAATCATAAAATATAAAAAGTGAAAAGGACCTTAGAGGTCATGTAATTTAAAATGAAAGGTGTTTTTTTTTATTAGTGTTTTTAATAATGGAGTAGTCAGATTAAGGGGTAATCAGTGAGTTTGGTGACTTGCCTGAGGAGTATAGCTTGTTGATGTGTGAGCCTTTACTACTTTTAACTCTTAATCTTATTTTTCATTATACCTCATTAAATTCCTGCACATAATTGTATTTGAAGCTTGATGTATAATTTTGGTGATAAAAGCATTATAACAAAAGTTTTAGTTTTAACATGTGGTATTTAAGTTTGGTGGAGTACAAAAATTTGATACATGTTTTTTTCATACTTATTTGAATTTTTCACTGTCCCATGTATTATGTTGCCAGCATTTCTACATTTAACATTTTCTGTACATGTGATTCTATGACGCCATGGTATCTTCCACGTGCTATAGCAGAATTTAGTTATCCCCCTGCTGCTGGCCTAGATATTTCTCCTATAATGCTCTGATGAAATTCTTTATAGGTGTTATTAGGTATTAGACCACATTTCTAAAAATAGCATATTAATATATAAAACCCTCTATATGGTTTTGGAAGTTCTAGTCTTAGAAGAATTTGATAATATCCTTTTATCTTTGCTTTCTCTCTCAAAGACTGTATTTTCTTAAATTGTTTTAGCTAAGTAAAATACTACTTTTAAGAAATGTTCATTGGAATACTATTAATTTGAGAAACATTTACAGATACCCGTTTTATCTTTTATCCTTCAGCTAGTTACATTGAGAGACCTCAGTTGATTCGAGCAAAAGTGCCAATTGTGAAGTTCAGGGATAAAGTCAGGTAAGTAGTTACTGAATTTTTTCAGTTGCTTTAGATAATTTTTAGCTATTCTTCTGAGGTAGATAATTAAGGAGGGTGTGCTGTTGCATAATAGCTTCATTAGTTTTTGGAAATGATTTGTTCTCTTAGACGATTTTTTTTAAATAATCTGAGCAGTTGATCATGCTTAACTCTTAGCTATTCTGGTTGACATTTTGAATATTTGAGACTATTCATAGCTGAAAGAAAATAGTATTTTAGATTTTTAAATGATCTCTTCCTTTTGGAAATATAATATGCTCTGAGAACATACCTTAATTCATGAAATTTGATGCATGTTTATATCAAAAGAGGTTGTTACTAGTATAATTATATCTATATGTTCTACTATTAATAGTTTGGGTTCTGAATTTCTTATAGGCATTATTATTAGAATTTATATAGGTATATACACTTGATCCTCATTATTCATGGATCTCATATTTGTGAATTTGCCTACTTGATAAAATTTATTTTGTAACCCCCTGAATTAATACTTGTAACACTTCTATGATTTTATAAACCTGCGCAGAGTGGGTGAATTTTTAGTCACCTGATGTACATCTTCCCAAATGAGTTTAACAGTATGATACACTTGTCTTTTTGTTTCACCTCTCATATGCTGAACAGATGCCTTTTCACAGACTAGTTAGTGTGCTTTTCGCAGTTTTGTGCTTTTGTGCATGAATTTGGTTTAAAATGACCTCCTGGCATTGTGCTGAGGGGTTGTAGGTGTGCACGAAGCTGTGATGTGCCTTCCTGGTGTGCTAGATGTGTTTTATCTAGGGGTGAGTAGTGCTCTGCACAGACTTCACTTTTATCAACTGAACAGTATGTTAAACGTCTTTAAATAGAAACTTACATGAAAGAAAGTTACATATTGATCAGTTGATGAAAATGTGCCTGTAGGCATATTGATAAATAGGCTGATGAAGATGTGACTGGGGCGCCTGGAAACCTAACCCTTTGTTTCCCATAGGAGCAGTGGCTCAGTAAATCACTAATTCAGTGTTTGTGATCACTGTGTAGAAAATAACTACTGCAGATAATCAAAATTGACTGAATATTTATATTTTTTCCTTTTTTTTTAAAACAAATCTTTAGATAAGTGATGGCTCAAACTTTGCTCTTCCTTCATCCAAACATCCATCCAGTCTATAAAGATTTACTAAATTTCTCTCAAGTAACAGTGGAACATTTTTTTTCCCAATAGTGGAGTATTTTTAAAGCACAAAGATACAGGGAGATAAAACATACATGTAAACAAAACTATTAGCTGATTATAATCATTTTAAAAAACAGTTGTAGTTATAATATAAACAATATAACAAACAGAAAATATAAATAAAACTATTAACTGATTATAATTGTTTTTAAAAATGGTTGTAGCTGTAATTATGTAAACAATTTTATTCTTTTTCAATTTAAGATTATCATACATGGTTTTTTCATTGTTAAATGTTCTTTATAAGCACCATTTTATCATCCTTCTGTATATGCGTCATTAAGAAGAAGGAACAACTGCACTTTGATCATTCAGATATAACTGATGTTAACGTTTTGGTGTAAACCTTTCAGTCCCTTCTTTATGCATATGAATACATAAGAGCTTTTAAAAGTAAAATTGAGCTCATACTTTATTACTTAGCAATATAGCATGAATGCTCGAATCATTGAATGTCCTCTGGCTTTATTTTCAATCACTTTACAGTATTTCAGTGAGTGGATTTACTGTCATTAACTTAACCATTCCCTGTTTGAATAAGCATGAAATTCTTTCCATGTTAAGGAGTACTTCAATATTTCCAGAAGTAGAATTGAAGAAAGCACTGTGGATATTTTTTAAGCTCCAGATTCATATTTTTGGAAAGTTTTTAATTGCAGACTACTTTCCATCTAAGTGTTTTTTTCCTCTTTAAGTTACACAGAGGGAGTGCAGACTAGTTTCAGTGTTAGATTTGTACAAGCACAATTAAAGAATGTAACTCTACTGTTACACCATAAGCTTCCCAAAGCCAATTACATCTGAAATTTTAATGTCACTATCCATGTTTATTAACATGCATGGATAATTGAAAGATTATAGGATTTCTTTTCCCATAACAAAATCTGAAATGGTATATTTCAGATATTACAGTTAAAAGCTATAGAAAGGAATTTTATGCTTTTATTTAAGGCACTTTCCACAAAAAGACTCATTGTGCAGAAGTTTGACCTGATAGTATATGAGCCTGTTAACTTACGCATTAAGTAGTCATTTTGAGTTTAGCTGTTCTTTACATATACTATTGTTATTGCTGTGTTTTCTAAATTGTGAATTGCACGACACCTTTGGTTTCAAAGAGTTGTCCCTTCTGTTAGGTGTTTGGCTCTTACTGTTTTTACTAGACATCAATAGCCAAGTTTGTTATGATAATTTAGTAACCCTTTTGGAGGGAAAATAAAGTGTAGACAGAGCTTTTATTTTTTTTCACCTTACTTTATTTGGCTTTTCATTCCTGTTGTTTTAAAGCAAATGTTGCTGTCATTCAAAATTGATTGAGAATTTATAACAGTGGGATAACTTGCCCAGAAGTATGTTTGGTTATACAGTTCTGTTTATCTGAAAAGTATTAAAAGATGAAAACTTTTTTTTGTTAAGAGTGATTGTAGCCTTACTGGTATAATACATATCTTTCAATATCAGATGATACTAAAAGTTGTCTTTGGGCCCATGACATTTTGTATCATTGGATGAACGGATGGATATAAATTTAGTTACTAGGGAGTTAGTTTAATTTGTACTTGAGCTGAAATTTTTATCTTTTTTTTGAAAATAGTTGTGTGGAGTTCGACTTGAATGTAAACAATATTGTTGGAATAAGAAACACATTCCTTCTTAGAACTTATGCATACCGTAAGTTTTCTTGTGTTTATTTTCAGATAATCATTACCTTCTCTGTTTATCCTTTATTCCTTTATAAAGATGTGTGACATCTCTTTAATTATGTTTGTGTACAATATGTCTCACTTTCTTATATATGTAATGTGTTACTACACTGAAATCACATATCACCAGTAACTCAGTAAAATGAATTTTGATAGTTTGTAATTTTAAAAAAGTAACTGAAGTATGTTTTATATAGAAATAAGACATATCTATGGTAAGCAAAATGTTTAATAGCAGGAGGGTTTGCTCTTTCTATCGGCACGGAGTTGGGAAATAATGTAAACTTTCAAAGAAACTTGAAAGAAGAAATGTCTTCTTAACATTTTTAAGTTTTAATTTTACTTTCAGTTGAAAATCGAGTTCGTCCGTTAGTACTGGTGATTAAGAAGTGGGCCAGTCACCATGATATAAATGACGCCAGTCGCGGTACTTTAAGCAGCTATAGTCTTGTACTGATGGTTTTGCACTATTTACAAAGTAAGTATTATGGGGTTTTTTCCTAATTTTTAAAATGGAAATGCAGTTAAACTTGATAATGGTGTTTTTCCTGTTGATCTTATATTCAGATACCGTTTTAAAGTTTTTTCTAACGCACATAAAAACCACATTTCCTACTTTCCTGCTTTGAACAAGTGTTTTAGGTAATGTTACCTATGGAAAACATTATAAAGAAGTTTCATTGTATTTTTAAATTTTGACAATTTCCTATATTTGCTTTAGTATTCAAAGAACTTTCACCACTGTATTGTGGACCCATTGTCTTAAGCCGGATGAATGTTTAGAGGCCTGTAAAAATAAACTCAAGCACCATTCATGATGTTCTTTTTATTTTTCACTTGAACCAGGAATTAAATTATTTTCCTTTTTCTCTAAATGATTTTCATGTTGGTTTAAAGGAGCTTTTATTTTCTATGGGCTGTCCTGGAGATTGGATGAAATACTTGATGTTAATTAATGTAAGACCATTTACCAGTATGTTCTGGCTTAATGTTTCACAGTTTAGAAAGCAGTGTTGTAATATTTATGTTTATACCCTTTCACTCAGTGATTTCATATCTAGAAATTTATCCTCGATAAATAATGAGGGATGTTTATATGAATTTATATAAGGTTATTTTCATGGTATTTGTTGAAATAATAAAAGATAAAAAATACTTTAAGATTATAAAAACCCATTAATTTAATGGTTAAATTAATTATGATATATCCTGATATTAAATTTATATGAACACTAAAAATCACATTTTAAAGTTATTGAAATAGAAGGAGCCTCATGATATGCTGTCATGCATAATAAAATACCAGTTTTATTCAAATAGTTGCTATGAATGTGTATATATTCATATGTATACAAATATTGAAAAGGTATATGCTAGAAATTTGGCATATTTATAGACAGTAGTTTTTATTTTATTATTATTTTATTTATTTATATACAGTAGTATTTATTTTCTTTATATATTACTGTACTTATAGATATTTTTATTATATATAAAGTAAGTATATTTTTAGCTGAACAATGAAATCAAAATGAGTTTTTTTTCAGATTCTGAGAGAGACTTAAAATAGTTTAAATGGGCAAAAATTTTGTGATTCAGTGATGATTAGAAAGGTTAGATATTCTTCCTCTGTTGTTAAAATATTTCAAGCTAATTGTAATATTTTTGTTGCTGAACAGTCTTGGATATATACTAGTTTGATGATTGATTTGCCATACCAAAGTGATTCGAAACGTGATGTTGGCTGTTTTAGATGCTGCTTTACATATCACCAGTTATTTTTATTCAATTTTATAGTTCAGTGTGAAACATTACCTTTGATGCTTTTATAGTGAACTGTGTTCTTTTGAGGATTGCAGTTTACTTTCATGAAAAATGGAATTGTTTAGAAAAATTCTTTTATAAAATATGAAGAATAATATGGCTAACACTTATGTATTACCACTTAGTGTCTATTCATTTTTAGTTTTAGTTGTGGTTTAAACATCAGATTTGACTAAAACATATAACATGCATGAACATTCACAATATGTGCCCTGTCCATTCTTTTGGGTTACATTAGAAATTTTAATTTGATTGCTTTTTTAGGAAATGTACTTTAATCACAGGGGCTCCATGGAGGTTTTGTAAGCAGTAACTCAGATATTAGTGGGACTTGCCTGGTGGTCCAGTGGTTAAGACTCCACCCTTCTGCTGCAGAGGACCTGGGTTCCATAACTGATTGGGAAACTAAGATCCTTCATGCTGTGCAGCGTGGCAAATTCAAGTATTAGTATTTCACCAGTGTAATAAAATCATGCTAAAACTTGGTTTAGATTTTGTTAAATTTATTTTATTCTCGACAAAGTGGTCTCATTTACTAAGGTGATTAGTAATTTATGGCACTCTAATCAGCCATTTCTAGGTATTTGTTAAAAGACATCAGCTACCCAGACATACTGGGTAATTCTGTACTTTGGCAGATTTAACCCATTCCTCCCTAGAAGAAATTAGAGAGATTGAAATAAGTAATTGCTTTTCTTGTCATGCAAGACTCTTCAGGTGTATTGAGCAGTTCTAGCTCTGTCACAGTTAACTAATTTTTGTGATTTTGGCCAAGTAATTCTACCTTGCTGGCCTTAATATTCATCTGTAACACTAATAGTTAGATTAGATGACCTTTAAGTTTCATTTACCTTTAAATGCTTTAATGTCTTTTCTGCCATGAACAGAGAAAGGAAACAGGTCCTCTCTATATAGAAAGGTTGAAAGGTTAACTAATGCATTTCCTAGCACAAATTTCAACAATTAGGACTGTAGCATGCCAGGCTCCTCTGTCCGTGGAATTTTCCAGGCAAGAATACTGGAGTGGGTAGCCATTCCCTACCCTAGGGAATCTAGGGGATCTTCCCAGACCAGGGATAGAATCTGGACCTCCTGCATTGCAGGCAGAGTCTTTATTGTCTGAGCCACCAGGGGAGCCCCAGTTACAAACTACATGTGCTTGAAAATGTGACTCGTGACGAGAGTTTACTAGCAATCTAATATTAAGAGTATTTTGAGAGAACAGCATCGAAACATGTATATTATCTAGGGTGAAACAGATCACCAGCCCAGGTTGGATGCATGAGACAAGTGCTCGGGGCTGGTGCACTGGGAAGACCCAGAGGGATCGGGTGGAGAGGGAGGTGGGAGGGGGGACTGGGATGGGGAATACATGTAAATCCATGGCTAATTCATTTCAATGTATGACAAATACCACTACAATATTGTAAAGTAATTAGCCTCCAACTAATAAAAATAAATGGAAAAAAAAATAGGTGAGTCAACATTAAAAGAAAAGTTAATAGTAAAGGCAAAAGTGTCAATTGGTTAGAAACAATAATATGAGTGAATGAATAGTCGTGGACTATCACCACGTTACCAGGTATAGATCTATCTTTAGGCATTTTTAAATTGTTCTTGCATTTTCAGAATTAGTGGTTGTTTAGTGTCGTTGAGGATCTGCTTTTTTTTTTTAATTAGTGTAATCTTTGATGAATTAGCATGGAACGTGTATGTGTATAAATTAGTGAAGGCCTGACAAGAAAGCTCTCATTCGAAATACAGGCAAAGTAAAATTCTATAGATTTAAGTCTGTTCAAGGTATAATCTATTGGTCATATCTTTTAATAATAAACTTGTCTTATTTTGCTTTTGAGAGAGCAAAATATGACTTCAAAATAGATGTCATAATAGATGTTACAGAGATTCTTCCAGAATCTGTATTGCTTTGGAATAAAATATTTGGAAAAACTGCTAAATGTTTCGAGGTTACTATCAGGGTAGCATTGATAAATAATTGCCAGAGTACATTAATTGCTTCTCTAATGACTAGTATTTTTAAATCTTTTAAGGCAAGGGATTTACTGAATGATAACCCTGCCCTCAAAAACTTCCACATTGCTTAGTTCTAAAGACTCTTTATCTATTGAAAGACCCTATTCCAGTGTTTTGTGTTTTTTTTTCTCTCCTAGCATTCTAGTTGTGATTCTGTCACTAGAATGTGATAATATTTTTTAAAAAGTTTCTACAGTCTTATATTTTACTGGGAGTGTTCAATGGGTATAGAGTTTAGCTTTCTAGACTTAAAACTTAAACTAATTTCTAGTAAGAGTTTCCAATTTGTCGTCTATGTTATGATGAAAATTATTAAAATGTTAGACAAATACAGAGACTTTTAAGATTAAGTGACTGGAGCTTGAGTTTATTTGTAGGGTCTTCTAGAATTTGAGTATTTGAATGCCTTTAGGGAAAGAAAATATGTAGCCTTAATTCCTGAGGGTGATTCTGGTAAGTAATGAGTGAGTTTTTTCCCCCTAATATTCTTAGTCATATATTGTGAACGTTCCATACTATCATGGAAATTTATTCTAATTTTATTTTATTTATTATTCTAATTTTCAACTTGGGAGTGAAGTGTGATACAGAAAAGATACTTAAATAAAGCATCCTACTTTGTACTATGTGGTAAAAATTTATACATTTATAATCATAGTTGGAGACCATGTAAATTGATCATAATGGTTGATTTTGTGTTCATTAATATATTCCAGTACTCATTTAAAAATTTTTGCTAAATAGATTAAAAGTGAATTAATGATTCTTTGTTGCTGAATTTATTTAATTGCAGTTGAGAGCCAACTATAAAGTTGCCTGCAGATTTTCAACTGTACAGGGGTTGGCACCCCTGACCCCTGAGTTATTCAAGGGTCAGCTGTATATATAATGTATTTATAATTCTTAAGCACTTAGTTTACTATGGAGTATTGTATTGGTCTTTAATCTTAAAGAAATCTTATAAATGTGTTATTTGTATCTTACCATATTCAAGACACTGTATTTTATAGTTGTTTCTTATATTGTAAGTATTAAGCACTTTGCCTTTCTTGTTATTCCATCTACATTATAATGATGTGAAATTACAGTTAATGCATTTAATGAAGTTGGATTCGGGGAAAGCTGTTGAAGGGTGAAGAATGGCAGTTAAAAATACAGTGACATATGAAGATATTGATTCTTTTGTATAAAATTTTATTTTATAGCAGATTGGTACAGATCTCCTGATTTAGATTTCTAACTTTGCTGAGGTTTTCTTTTTTAAAATATATAAATGAAGTTGAAGATTTTTTTTTTTCAATTGTTTTTTCCTCAGTAGATCAGTTTTCTAAAACTATCTCAATTTTGATATTATTGTTAGAAATAAATAATAAAGGAACAATTTATGATAGAGCTGTTATTCTTACGATGTAGTGCCATTGGACTGTACTTTCAAAGTTTTTTTTGATAATTAGAACCATCTTAACAGTGTCTGTTTAATATCTGTAGCACAATCCTTGTCTTGCTTATTTTGTGTGTGTGTCTAGTGTTGGACCAAATGTGTGTCCATTTATTGATGATCTATTTTTCTAAAGCCATGTAAGGAACATTGGTTTATGTAGAAGTATACATAACTTATTAATAGACCTTAAAATGTCAACTTTGATATATTTTGAATTTTAATTTTTAGGGATCAGAGCTAATTTCACAAAATATGTGAAAACTGTTGAATTTTAGCATAAACCCATATAGTCTTATACCTGGGGGTAGCTGACAAATTAATTGCTTTGTAAAATGAATTACATGAATCACAGCAGCTTTAAACTTTTTCTTTTTATAGCCTTACCTGAACCCATCCTTCCATCCATCCAAAAAATTTACCCAGTAAGTGTTTCTTATAAATTATTATAATATCTGTTATGACAAGTGTATGTGGAACTATATGTGCAATATTATTGTGAATAAAAATAGAAATAGTTACCTTCTAAGTTATGATAATATTTTCTACATAGGCTGAGGTAAACATTGACCACTAGAATGTTAAAAATATTTCATATAATTTTTTGGAAGTCTCTGCTATTTTTTTTTATTATTGGCAGACAGTCTTGTCCTTTATGTTAATGATGGAACTTTTTATATGACACTGTTGATTATCATTAATGGGAATGAAATATACTTAGTTGGTGAAGGCACATTTGGACTCAGAACAGTTTTTTTCATGTTACTTTAAAATATAATTTTAGAACATTTCTTTAGTAGCTCCGAAGTTTTACAGCCTAACATACGTGTAATTTGAAATCAGAGGAAAAAATTTCACGTAGAGCCAGGCATCCTGGAATGTGAAGTCAGTTGAGCCTTAGGAAGCATTGCTACAAAAGGAAGTTGAGATGATGGAATTCTGTCTGTGCTAAGAAGTTGAACAGTTGGATAACTTTGTTGTTGTTGTTGTTGGATAACCTTTTAATGTTTCATTTGATCTTATGAAGTAACATTCTAAGAGGTAACATGTACACTGTCCTTGCATGTACATTATTAAGAATCCTGGTGAAGTTAATTAGAAACCCTCAAGAAATGAAGTGTGCCTACTAGAAAAGGTTTAATATATACTCAGTTTGAGTTTAGAGAAACCTTGGTAATGTACATATTAATAATCTATATGAATATTTTTGTTTCTTTTCTAGTTTTTATATAAGTTTTACCATTTCTGTTTTCCTCCATAGTCATTCTTGTTCCTGGTTTTTTTGGAAATAATATTTAAGCTGCTTGTGTAGAATGTTTGACCAGCCTTTTAAAACCACGTTTTTTAGCTGTTAATTCATAAACTTTTAAGAAGAGTTTTCTGAACTTACTAGTCATGCTGTATAGGAAACATAACATCCCTGTTGAGTGATCAAAGTTTTTCAAAGAACTTATTTTATATGTATGAGAAAATATAATAAATATGTTGACATAGAACCTAAATTAAATGTAATATAATCTTTGATGATTGAGAAGTGATGTTCTTGTTTTTGAACATCAGTTATTCTTGTAATGCTCACATGTGAGGTGCTGGATAATATAGGTTCACTGTAAATAGAGTCTTGCTGCAGTGGGGGCCTCTCAGTTCATGGTGGGTCATCTATGAAAAGAGACCATTTAACAAGAAGAACCTTCTGGACTCTGTCTCATCTTCCTCCTTTTAAAAATAAATTTCTGCTATGAAGAGCTATTATAATCAATGTATAGTATAGCTGGGTATCAGTATTTATGCTTTTAAGTAGTATGACAAAGAAGACTTCAGAAAGTGTAGAAATGTAAAAAACGTGAACTTTTGGACCTATTCTTGAATGTTTTCTTCCCTCTATAAAGTATTAATTTTTTAGTTCATACTGAAAAGTCAAAGATAATGACTGGGTGTTTACAATTTCATTTATTGTCCCAACTTTATTGTTCTTTAAACACCTAGGTTTCAGTGTAGCAAGAGCTGCATATATTGTTCAACATACAAAGGACTTAATAGTTTTAACTTACCTTTAAAGAATCTATTATTGTGTTTTGAGAGATGCTTCTGTAGAAGCACTTAAAATGCTGTACTGCATGGAACTCTTTTTACTAATATAAAATGCTGATTAAGTTTCAGTTTAATAGCATTATGCTGAGAAACAAGCATTACTTTTATGATAAGATACTCAAATTCTTACTAGTATATTCTAGCAAATATAAAGTGTTCTCCTTAGAAAGGTTACATGATTGATCCAAGCTGTTTAGTCACAAATTATGAATGCAGGAACTGGTGTTTTTTCCATTATACTGTGCTACCTGGGGAAAGGCAGAATGATAGGAGTAGTCAATTTGTGTTGCTTACAACATTTTATTTATTATCTATATGTTCCTATAGATGTTCCTATATGGATGTATTTGTATACCCTCCTTTAAGAAAAGCTGATAAGACAAAATTTCAGCTTGTAGTTTGAGAATAATTAAAAAAACTTTACAGTGACAGAAAAACTTTCTTATTACTTTACAAGGGAAGAATGTTTTAAATTTTGAGCTTCTCTGATATAGTTAAAATAGGATTAAAAATGTATTCAATATATTATTTTTTTGTCATTTTCATGTTTCTTCAAAATTTAGAAAATATTAATTAAAAAGTTAGTGTAATATTTCAATTCAGTTGTGATATTGAATTATGAAAGAAAAGGATAAAACAGACATCTTTGAAAACTATATCACGATATATAGCATTATTGATTATTACTTCTTAATTATTGACTTAAAGCAACATCAGTGATAGAGGACAGAGTGTTTACTATTGAGTTAAAGAAATGAAGTTGAGAAGTTTAAATATATAAACTTAGATTAAGTGTGTTAAGGGATTTTTATTTTAATGTAAGCATTTTATGAGATTTACCTACACTTACGCTAGGTAGATTTATCAAGACAACTTATATTTGTTTCCTTCCCTAGTGATATCTTCCTATTTTCAGAAACCAAAGTTAATTCCAAAGTAATACATTGAAAGTTGCCAGAGGTAACCATAGTGTGTTATTGTAGATGTGCAGTTAAAATAATAATGATGCCTGGCATATACTGAATAATTAATAAGTAGTTAATACTATTGTTACTTTTCTTTCCATATACATTGTATCATATAATTTGTATAACAGTCCTGTGAATGCTATTATTTTCCTTGTATTATGGATGAAGGAGCTTGACCTTTGGAAAGCTAGGTAAGGTGGTTAAGTTCATGTAGCTAATGGAAGAACAAGGTTTCATACTTAGGCCTGACTCTAGAACTCAGGCTCTTCACCACTTCATAATAGTACTTCTATTTTGTGTTAAATACTTTAACTCCTTTCAAAAGTTGGAAGATTTAATATCAGATGAAGTTTAAAGGCAATTTATTTATCAATCTTTAATATACATCACTAGATTAGTGATGATCTGCTTATAGTTAAATCTTGGTAGAACTTCAGTGTATCATTTAGTTCTTTCTATTCATGTATAACTCCACTTAAATGCTCTGTATCAGTTATCCTTTTCTTTGAGATCTTCCTCAACATTTCTTTCTAGGCTTTAATAATTCATATTCTTAGAAAATTGTGCAGCTTATATTTCTTTGCCTAGAGATGGAAAACAGTCATCTTTCATTTAAGCTATACCTTTAGAACAGTTATCAAGTGAACAAATTAACCCAGTTTAATGTAGTCCAGAACGTGCTTAATTGCCCACATTTTGGACTTTAAAGTTTGTGACACAGCCTCAAAAAGTGATGAAGTCTGGCAAAAGATGTTTTTGTTAGGCAGTTGTATGGACAGAAACAGTGAGACTTTTCAGATGTTTTTTGAGATTACTTATTTAAATTTTTCTTAACTTGATATTGTGAAGAGAAATGGAAGATATGTGTCTTTAGCATTTAAATATCATTTGGAAAATGGTTTTAGGAATTAGGTTATTGCAGATTTGGGTATCAGAAGCCCAAAATAAGACAGAACCTTAGAAAATAGTAAATATATTTTCTGTGTTAAAAAAATTAAACCAATAAATATCAGTACTCCAAAGGAAAAAAATGCTGTAAGAAACAGGTTTTGTATTGGTTAAATTGTTTTTCTATGGATTTAGATTGTAGTTTTAAAGGCTGCTTTTATTTCTTCGGCTTTTGGATTACTCTTTCTGTGCTTTCTAATGTGTTAGCTTAAACTCTGCCCACCTTCATCCTATCTAAAGTAACATACTCTATTTCAATACATAAATGCAATTGGGGGAGCTCCTTTTAAAGAAATAACTTAGATGAAATTTTTCTTAAAGCAGAAAATCTTTCTGTACTATGAAGGATTACCAAAAATGGGGGTTACTTAAGGTTAAATAGAATTCCTTTTTACTCGTAGCTTCTTTTAGTTGGATCCTAATTTTTGTTTGTTTGTTTGTATTTCTCCTTTAGTTCTCCCTCAGTAGGTATGATATGACCCTTTGTACATATCATCTTGAAAAAGAACAGTGGCGCTAAGACAACACAGACCAGGGTCTTTCAGCATTTTAATACAATAGGTCTTATAATGCTACAGTTTTAATCTCACAATTACTGATGTATTTCTTTAAATTACTGAAAAAAACAAATTTTAAAGGAGGTTCAGACAGTTTTAAACTTCAAGTAAGAAAATGGCTGCTCTGTTTCAGCATCATTTTGTAAATTGAATGTTTATTGTGCTAAGTGCTAGAAATCAGAATTAATAAGCTTTCAGAGCAGAAATTGTTAAACAGTGACCCACTTTTCTTTTTCCTGTCATTTGAACTTATACCTTTTTGTTTAATTTGCTGGAGAATATTATTTCAGTTTTACACTTTAAAGTCCTAAGCCCAGTTTTATGCTTAACAAGAGAGAAAGTAAGAATAAGACAAGTAAGAGACCTGTTCTCCCTTCTGCTGTTACAAATCAGTGCTTGTCTCCGACCCCCTAGTCTTTGGGATAAATAAGATTTCTACTTGGGTCATAACCTGTAATATTACATCTGTTAGATATGTAAGGCAAGTCCCACATTTAGGAATGCCATCTTTGTGAATTGTGGTTGGAGTAGGATATTTTCTTCTGGCAAAAAGATAATCACTTCTTTGTAGTTAAAATTACTGATAAAATTATAGGTAATGGGGCAGGAGGAGGAGATGTTTCTATTTTCTTGCCCCTTGTTTTTACTGATGTATTTTGAGACTACCATTAAATAGGTGTACTACCCTATTTCTCCGTATTACTGGGGTTATTCAGATTTTACTAATTGAATTAATATCCATAAACCCAAGTTTGATCTGTTGGGTAGTTGAGAACCTTAAGTGTAGTTGTCATTCCGATGTCTGGTTAACCAATTGTCTTTTTGTATAATTGTTTTGTTCTTAAAACTGTTCCTACTTGGTGGCAAAGGAGAATATAGAAAACCTTTTTTGAGGGCACTGTGAAAATTACCTGAAAAAGTATTTTCTAACATAATGGATATGTATTACTTGAGAATTTTTATAGTTCAGTTTATTTTAGAGCCATAACTTTCTACTAATAAAAGAAAGATCAGATATGAAAATGAATGGCATTCCATAGGCAGAAAGAATAAGTACTCACTGGTATTCTTTCTAATAGGTGACTTCTTTGGGCCTAGAATGCAAGCACATGATATCCTTCTTTATGAATATTGTAGTAAAAATGAGTAGCTCAATATTGTTTGCTGATTTGATTTTTCAAGTTCAGTTCGTGTTGAACATTATTTCTATTCCCTCTAAAATGCAACATACAAAAATGAAATAAAATTGTAAAAAATCTTAAAATCAGTGTCAGTACTATTTATATATTAAACCTTTATGACCTTTGCGAGATTTTAAGTGGCAGTTAGAAAAAGCTCTTACCTTGAGATATATTTGTAAAGAAATCTATATTTATTGGATGCAATCTTGGTATGTACTGTAAGGTTTTATTTATGAATTAAAAAACTTTTGCTCCCATGGAATTCATTTCGTTAACTGAGTGATATACCTCAGTTGAGGATTAGAATGTCTTAGTTTTTCAGGTTCTTTCTGGCTTAGTCCATACATTGTTGAAATCTTTACTGGGAGAAAATCTTCAGATTTCCAAATCGCCAATGTAAAGAAAATTCTGTCTTCTCCGGACAGCCTTATGTTAAGATTTATAAGGTTTTTGGGGAGGTGTGTTTTTAAATGGCCTCACACATTTTTCCTTTTTCTTTCTGATAGGAGTCTTTTAGTCCTTCTGTACAGTTGCACCTTGTACATCAGGCGCCATGTAATGTTCCTCCTTACCTCTCAAAGAATGAATCAAACCTTGGGGACCTCTTACTGGGCTTTCTGAAGTACTATGCTACAGAATTTGAGTAAGTGGAACTTCAAATTGTGTATAAATTCTGTATAAATGAATGCAACAAATTGGGTCAGAAAATGTATTTATCAATTTCATTGTTATAAACTAGTTCAGAAATGTGTAGTTTATAAAATGTAATACCTAATGATATCCTGTTTCAATCTAATTAAAAAAATAGTAAGCCTACTATTTGGAGAAGGCACCCCACTCCAGCACTCTTGCCTGGAAAATCCCATGGACGGGGGAGCCTGGTAGGCTGCGGTCCATGGGGTCGCGAGGAGTCAGACACGACTGAGTGACTTCACTTTCACTTTTCACTTTCATGCTTTGGAGAAGGAAATGGCAACCCACTCCAGTGTTCTTTTTTTTTTTCCATTTATTTTTATTAGTTGGAGGCTAATTACTTTACAATATTGTAGTGGTTTTTGCCATACATTGGCATGAATCAGCCATGGATTTACATGTGTTCCCCATCCCGATCACTCCAGTGTTCTTGCCTGGAGAATCCCAGGAACGGGGGAGTCTGGTGGGCTGCCGTCTGTGGGGTCGCACAGAGTCGAACACAACTGAAGCGACTTGGCAGCAGCAGCAGCAAGCCTACTATTATTTGATTTCAGTAGTGATCCCCTTTTATATTTAGCTGTCTCTTTACATAGTAAGACCTGAATAAATATGTTGGTCCTGTGTCAGGTCAGTCTCTCAGTTGTGTCCCACTCTTTGCTACCCTATGAACCGCAGTACGCCAGGCCTCCCTGTCCATCACCAACTCCTGGAGTCCATGCAAACCCATGTCCATTGTGTCAGTGATGCCATCCAACCATCTCATCCTCTGTCGTCCCCTTCTCCTCCTGCCCTCAATCTTTCCCAGCATCAGGGTCTTTTCAAATGAATCAGCTCTCTGCATCAGGTGGCCAGAGTATTGGAGTTTCAGCTTCAACATCAGTCCCTCCAGTGAACACCCAGGACTGATTTCCTTTAGGATGGACTGGTTGGATCTCCTTGCAAATGCTATATAATTTGGAATATATATTTTGTAGAACTTAAAATTTGTAATAAAAAAAAAACAAGCTAAAACAAACTTGGAAAGAGATGTAGTTAATACTGGATATTTGAATAAATAGTTGTGTTTGTATGATATATACATCAAAGAATACTTCTCATTTTTTTCTTTTTTGGCGAGAGTGATATGTAGACATGAAACAGTGAAGTGTGTAATCAGGCTGGCCAAAACTGGAACTTCTTACGGGAGTTCTTAGTCCAGATAGAGTAGAATTAGGAGTTGTATGCACCTCTTCTGATCAATTTGGGAAAGCTTGAAGGAGGCAATGAGAAAATTTAGGAGTGGTAAAACATTAGAGGAGGAGAGTACAATAACCGTAGGATACTGTTTTGGAAAGGTTTGGAGGGGGGAACAATAATGTAAGAGTAATAATTGCTATCACTTGGTGGGAAAAACTGTTCTAAGGAGATCATATGCATTATCTCATTGAGTTTACATGAGTTGGTGTTATTTTATGCCTGTTTTACCAATGGGACATATGGAGAGGTAAGGAAACTGGCCAAAAATCTCATAGGTAGTAAGGGGAATATTTCAGATAATTTTGAATGCAAAATTCACTCTCTTAACTGTGATACTTTACTGAAATGTTGATACTATCTGCTGTCATACAGAGGTTTTGAAGAAACCTGACTCATATAAGATGAAACAGGGCCTGAAGAAGTATTATTTAAATTCCTTCAAATAAACTTCCATCTATTTTGTTTATGTTTGTATCTCCATTGCCTTGCCCAATGCCAGATAGTTGGTACTTGGAAAATACTTGTTATAGAATCATTTTGAAGGATAAAGATTATGGATGTAAGTCAAAGATCCTTAAGATGACTTAAAAATTAACTGAATTAGGTTAACAAAAGGAGTAAGAAAAGTGCTAAAGGAAAGTAGTTCAATAAGAATGAAGTTTTAATAATCCAGGTTAAAAGTGATTAGGACCTGAATGTAAGTCTAGTCAGCAAAAATATAAAGAAAAGAGGAACCTTTGTTTATATAGAGATGAGGAAAGATTTAAGTCTACATGGGACATAAGAGACTATAAAGATCATTCTGGAGTTAAGATTTTTTTAAGATGTTACAATGATAATAGCTAATGGTTCATGAATGTTTACCTAGTGCCCTGCAGCATGTTGAATGATTCCCATGTATTATCTCATGTAATCCTCACAAGAACCCCCTTTCAAGCTTTGGCAATTTGTGAACTTTGTCCTCTGATGATACAGTTAGATAATTGTATTCAGTTAGAGAACCAGGACTCAGATTCCAGTGACTCCAAAGCCACATACTTTAATTGTAGACTGCATCAGCATATCTGTGGTGTTATGTCAATTAGATATTGGGGGAGGTTTGTAGAGAGAGAAAGGATTCATAGAAGAAAGGTATTTTTCTGCTGTGTTGAGTTTAGGATTAGAGCATCTAGGGAAATGCCTTGAAACTCGGCTGCTTTTCAAGTCAAATGACTGAAACAAAATGATAGACGTTCAGGTTTGTATGTTAGTTCACTTTGAGCTTGCTGTGTGGCGTGACATGGCACTAGAATGCTGGTGCTTGGAGAGAGGTTTTGAACTTTTAGATACACTTATTATGGTGCATGATTTAGGTGACATATTTATCTCCTGTTTGATCATGTAGTGCATTGTTGTTTCATACCAGATGTTTTCAGAAATTTGACTGTAGGGAGCATAGCCAAGATTGTAGTCATGGTAATGAACTAGGTGCCTGTTAAGGAATTCTCGCAGCCATTAGAAGGGTTGGTAAGGATTTCTTCTGAAGTTTGAGATACTCAGTTAAGAAATCTGAAAGACAAAGAATTAAGTGCCTGTGAAAGGATGCTAGAGTACATGGTATAAATGTTGCTGAGATTTTTATACAGCCATTTAAAAATTGCTAAGATTTTCTTACCTACTTCACTCAGCTTTCTCCTTAAACTTTGCTGCTGAAAATTACAAAAATGAAGCCAAGTTTCTAGAAATGTACCCAGGAGCGGGGAACTGACAGTATAGGAGAAAGGGGGTCAGGTGGCTCAGGGAATCTGGAAAAATACAGTCAGTTTAATCATTTTGTATGTTAAGAAAAAGAAAAGTGTAAGTTTTAAATATCTTATAGAGTCATAGATACTGTAGATTCTAGGAACCTTAAAAAGTATCTGTTTTATAATTGCCTTTATTTTCTTGATGCCTAATCACACGTGATTACTGCTAGTCTGTCTACTGAATTAAAAATACATACTTATATACTTAAATACATACTTTTTTTAAAAAAAGGAAATACAAAGGCCCAGTTTTTCTATCTCCTTTCTTATTCTTACTTATTCCTTATTTTATTTAATCAGTAAATCAGTGAGTGCCTACTGTATACCAGGCTATTTTCTCTGCACTGGGGATATGGCAGTTAAAACTGTCTTCATGGAGTTTATGTAGAGAGAGTCATGGAGAGATAGACAATAAATAAATAAAATGTATAGTATGTTAGATGATGGTAAGTGGAGAAAAATTTTTTTAAAAAGATTCTGATGTATTTAGTTGTTGCAGTTTTAATATGTGTATTGCCATTTAATACCTAGCATAGAGAGAGAATATTCTCACCAAAAAGGTGACCTTTGAAAAAAAGACCTAGTGGAGAGAAGTTGTGAGTTACGTGTCTACATGGGAGAAGAACTTTCTAAACAGAAGGAAGAGCAACTGCAAAGACCCTGAGGTGGAGGTTTGCCCATGTTCAAGGAACATCACAGAGACCAGTGTGACTGGAAAAGACTGTAGAAGTTAAGGATGTCAGAGAGTTGAGGAAGTCCGTGTCCTGTAGGGTCTTGTCGTGAATTTTGATAACTTTGAATTTTTCTCGAGAAGTGGGAAATCACTGAAGGGGTTTCAGTAGAACAATTAATGTGATCTGATTTAGTTTGCAACATGCTTCTGGATGAAAGCAGACTGAAGGGGGAGCTAGAGGCAGAAGCAAGGAGACGATTTAGGAAGGTATTGTGGTAATCTAAGAGAAACCATGTGACTTAGTTAGATAAAAGTGGTTGCAGTGGAAGTGGATGAGAAGTGGTCAGATTTTGCTTATGTTTTAATTTGCACCAGATTAATGTGACATAAGAGAAAGAGAAGAGCCAAGAATGACTTAAAAGTTTGAGACCTAAGCAACTGAAAGTATGGAGATGCCCCTAGGTGCGAAGCGAAAAGCAAGGGAGAAGCATTACTGATTTTTAATTAAGGTTGAGATACCCACAAAACATTCAAGTAGAGATTTTAAGTGAAAGTGAAGTTGCTCAGTTCCTCCGTCCATAGGATTTTTCAGGCAAGAATACTGGAGTGGGCTGCCATTTCCTTCGCCAGGAGATCTTCCCAAGCCAGGGATTGAACCCAGGTCTCCTGCATTGCAGGCAAGACGCTTTACCGTCTGAGCCATGAGGGGAGTTGGAGATTTCAAGCAGAGAGTTGGATATGTAAGTCTAGAGTGCGGGAGACAAGTCACAGTTTTAGGGGTTTTCATCTGATAGATGGGATTTAAAAGCTAGAAAACTTTTTGAGAAAACCAAGGGACTATAAATAGAAGAGAGAAAAGGTCCAAAGACTAATAAACCCTTAGATACTCCGATGTCTTAGGTATACAAGGTTAAGAAGATAATGAATGTTTTAAGTGATGCAATGAAGAGAGATAATTTAGAAGGTAGTTAGTCTGTGAAACGACTGGCCTAATTTCTCAAAAAGTCAGTTTAAAAAAAGTGGAGGGAACGTTTCCAGATTAAAGAGATGGAACAATCAAATTCAATGGATGAAGCTTGATTGCACTCTGATTGGGGTGGCAAGATTATAAAAGGCATTTGAGTTATATTAATGTCTTTTTTTTTCATTTATTTTTATTAGTTGGAGGCTAATTACTTTACAGTATTGTAGTGGTTTTTGTCATACATTGACATGAATCAGCCATGGATTTACATGTATTCCCCGTCCCAATCCCCC